AGAGAGCCCCCAGACCCCATAACCCACAGTAACCCAAATGTGGCCCCAGAACCCCCAACAGAGCCCCCAACATTCCCCCACAATCTCTGACCCCAGAACCCCAAATATGGCCCCATTACCCCAATAATGCCCCAATAATAACCTATAACCCCAATAATGCCCCATGACCCCAAATAATCCCCTAGAGCAGCTGATCCCACAACCCCAAATAATGCCCCAGAACCCCAATAATGCCCCTAACCCCAGACCCCATAACCCCCAACATGGCCCCAGAACCCCAATAATGTCCCATAACCCCAATAATCCCCCATAACCCCCAACATGGCCCCATAACCCCAATATTCCCCCATAAACCCAGACCTCATAAATCCCAACATGACCCCGTAACCCCAATAATGCCCCATAACCCCAGACCCCATAAATCCCAACATGGCCCCATAACCCCAATATTCCCCAATAACCCAGACCCCACAACTGCCCCACTGGGGGCGTGGCCTCACCCAAGCCCCGCCCCCTCCCCGGTCTCTTTTGCCGCTCCCTCTTCCGGTATCACGCACGGGTGGGCGTGACTTACCCCTACATAGCCAATCAGCGCGCGGGGCGGTACTGCCCGCACCAATAGGAGCGCGGCGCGCGTTGATGACGCAGAACGGGAGCGCCGCTTAGCAACGGAGCGCGGGGTCACCGGCGGCAGCGGCGGAGCCACGGGCGGAGCCACTTCCAGAGCACAAGAAACCCCCGCAGACACCAGAGAGGCTCCAGAGCCCATAAACCACCCCCGGCCCGCCCCAAAGAGCCCCCAGGCCCCGTGACGGCCCCGGTGGGGGTCCGGCCACGCACAAGCCCCGCCCACTCCCGATCTCGCCCTTGCCGTTCGGCCCTCAGGTATCGCTCCCGCGTGGGCGTGGCTTCTCCTCCCAGCAACCAATCAGCGCGCGGGGAAGCGCCGAGCCAGCCAATCAGGGCGCTGCGCGCTCTTATGACGTAGAACGAGCGCGACGCGCGGCGCGGCGGGGGCGGCATGTGGCGGCCGCTGGCCGCGCTCGCCGCCCGCGGGGCCAGCGGAGCCCGCGGCGGGGCCAGCACCAGCCCCGGGGCCTGCTCCGCCGCCGGGCCGCCCGCGGGGCACCGGCCGCTGCTGCTCCTGCTGTCGCTGCTCGCCCGCCACGGCGGCTGCGGGAGGGCTCTGCGGGCCTCGGGACACCGGGACTTCGCCACCGGCACCGGGAGAGGCACCGGGA